CCGGCTAGTTTTTTTTGTATTTTTTAGTAGAGACGGGGTTTCACCGTGTTAGTCAGGATGGTCTCGATCTCCTGACCTCGTGATCCGCCTGTCTCGGCCTCCCAAAGTGCTGGGATTACAAGCTTGAGCCACCACACCCGGCCCGTGTATTACTTTTATGGGTTCATATATATGTCCATAGAAATATAAATATTTAAAGAAATATTCTTTAAAAAATTCTATCAATAGATATTTCTTCTTTTCTTTTATTTTCTTTCTTTTTTTTTTTTTCTGAGACAGAGTCTCACTCTGTTGTCCAGGCTGGAGTGCAGTGGCGTGATCTTGCCTCACTGTGACCCCTGCCCTGTCTCCCAGGTTCAAGTGATTCTTCCCAATGCTCAGGGGGACTCATTAAAGCAACCTTTCATAATTGCCTGTTCTGAGCAACACGTAAACATTGTCCTTGAAGAACTACCGCATGGCAGCCGCCCTGGGCCTAGCTGGCAGCTCAAGGGTGTGAGTAACCTGGAACTTCTTCGACTGGGCCCGCCCTGGGGAGGGCATGGAGCCCAAGATTTGGTACCATAATTACTTGCGAGGCTTTCAAATTCCATGACAAAACGCAAATGCAAAGCCCTGGCTCCAGCAGCAGGCAGCTGAAAGGGATTACCTTGACCCTGTTGCGTGCTCCAGTATAGGAACTGCTGGATTCTAACCAGGGCTCTCCCATGCCCGACTCTATAAACTTTCTCTATATTTTGCATTGTTTCCCTGAGGGTAGGAGATTCCCGTAAGTTGGGTCAAAGGGCAGGGAGGTTTCCGTGGTTCTCATTCGGCCCTGCTGCTGCCCTCCAGACGGATCAGCTGCCAGGGTGGCCCCGGTCATGCCAGCGCAGTAGGCGGTCAGGGCGCAGTTGGGGCAGCCGGCAGGGCAGAAGGGACGGGAGCTTGACCCGGGTTCTGATGGGCAGAGGGAGCCCGGGCAGGGGTGGGGGCAGCGTGCGGGCAGGCGAGGAGGGGAGAGAGCCAGGCAGTCAGGCAGAATTGAAGTGACTGGAGAAAAGCCGAAGGGCCGTGTCTGCCTGAGGCTGGAGACCACCCCAGGTCCACACAGTCCGCTGGGTGCTGGCACCGCTTGGAGCCGCAGGGAAAGCCAAGCACCGCTCTTTCTAGAGCCTTCTTTTTTTCCTATTGTTAGAGAATTCACGACGTCACACTTGTTTTCAAGTGAAAAGAGTTGTGTAGGCCACGAAAATCACGTGACTTGAAAGCTGACCCTGAGAGGCCTCAAAATAAATTCTGGTTTGCTGTGAAAGCCTCGGGTTATAGCGCTAAACTCCCCCCTCCACTGCCCCCCGAAAGTTTTATTCTCCTCTGCTTTTAGGGTGGGGTGTGGCGTAAACAACAGCTTGAGCAGCTCTGAGGGGGAGGGTGTTAGAGATCAGGCAGGTGGAGAAGGCAAGAGTTTTCAAGGATGTCGAAATAGTTTGAGGCGCCCCGTCCCATTATAAAAGTGATACGAGAGACAGCAAGAACGTGCTTCTGGACAGAAAACAGACTCTAAGGAAAGGCAGCCAGAGGTTCACGCTGGATCCTGCGGTCTTCCCTATCTGCGCCTCTGTGCCTCTCTTGCCCTTACAAGGCGCATGGATCAACTTTGGAACAGGTTCTAATTCCGCCCCAGATCCATCTGCGTCTTCCCACGCCTCAGAAATCTGACCTCAGGGCGCAAGCGCAGCCCCAGCCCTCCAAGCCTAGGTAGGCAGGGTTCTCCCATCCGAGAAAGGGCCGAGGGGAGGCTTCCGGGGCGGGACCGACGCGGCCCCTCCCACTCCGCGGGCGGTGGGTTCAGCCTGAACGTACTGCGGAGGCGGGGCCGACGAGGGATCCAGGGACGGGGCAGGTTCAGGCCCCTCCCATCAGGCGGCCAGCGCGAGCGGTAGAGGCGGGTCTGGAGGCGGGGCCTGCGTGGAGCCAGACGGCGCGGCTGCTGCCGGGGGCGGGGCCGACGGGCTGTGGCCCCGCCCTTGGCCGCCATTGCCGGGCCTGCCTGGCCGCCCTGCGCAGCGACCTTGCCTCCTCTTTCCCGGCGGAGCGGGTCAGCGGGCCTGACAGGGAGCCTTCCTGACCGAGTCCACGTCTCCCCACGGCCAGACAAGTCTCCGGCCCGGCCCACGTCGCCAGTCCCCAGGCTTGGAGGAACGGCCCGAGCCCAGGAGAACCACATCTACGTCCCAGCCCCGGAGGCTCCTGTGGGCAAGATCGTGAGCCAACGGGTTCCTGAGGCCCCTCCTGGCCAGGCAGGGTTTCTCCGCGCGTTTCCGAGGAGCCCTGCCTGGCCGGGCGGCTGGACAAACAGGTCGTAGCACCGATCGCGCCCGCCCCCAGCAGGGGTCCTGCACAGGCTTGTCCCTGACCCCCACCCAAACCCGTTCTTCCGCTTTCCCCCCAAACAGTGCACTTGCCGGCGGTCCCAACCCAGCAGGAGGAGAGTGGACATGAGGTTGGCAGGTGGGTGGCTTCCGCAGCGAACGGGAGGGAGTTGAAAAGGGCACCTGGATGGAGGCCCAGCGTCCCGACATCTGTGTCTGGAGAGGCGCGGGTGGACCACTGGGTTTGGTTTTGGAAATTTCGGAGGACTCTGTACAAACACTCATTCCTTGACCTTAAGCAAATCCTTTCACCTCTGAGGACATCAGCTCCCCGAGCTATGACAGGAGGATTAGTATAGTCAGTCTCTCCCAACGCAGGTAGTAGACCAGCTGCTTTTTGGAAAATGAGTGGTGAGAGAGAGGAGGTGGGGAGTCCAGGTGGAGAGCCGTGATCTTAGAGGGGAAGTGACAAAAGTGGCTGTGGGCTTCGACATGAACCCGATGACAGCCCTACTGTCACCTGGACAACTAAGATGAAGATCCTTGGGGAGGGATAGGTTGGGGCGGGGTGGAGAGTGGAAAGAACTCAGGAATTGAACTTCAGACTTGCTAAGGTGGTAACTTTGTGGACATATCCAAGTGGAGCTGGCCAGTGAGGAACCAGCTGGCAGGGAGTGGTTTCAAGAGAGGCCACAGCTGGAACTAGAAAATAGGAAGTCATTGACACATGGTGGTTAATTAAAGAGCTGGGAGTAGATGACATCATCTAAAAAGACACTACAGGCTGGGCGCGGTGACTCACACCTGTAATCCCAGCAGTTTGGGAGGCCGAGGCGGGCAGATCACTTGAAGTCAGGAGTTTGAGACCAGCCTGGCCAACATGGTGAATCTCCATCTCTACTTAAAAAATACAAAAAAATTAGCGGGGCGTGCTGGTGGGTGCTTGTAATCCCAGCTACCCGGGAGGCTGAGGTTGCAGTGAGCCGAGATTGTGCCATTGCACACTCCAGCCTGGGCGACAGAGCGAGACTCCGTCTCAAAAAAATAAAAAGACAGCTGGGCGCAGTGGCTTACGCCTGTTATCTCAACACTTTGGGAGGCCAAAGCGGGTGGATCACCTGAGGTTAAGAGTTCAAGACCGGCCGGGCGCGGTGGCTCAAGCCTGTAATCCCAGCACTTTGGGAGGCCGAGACGAGCGGATCACGAGGTCAGGAGATCGAGACCATCCTGGCTAACACGGTGAAACCCCGTCTCGACTAAAAAATACAAAAAACTAGCTGGGCGAGGTGGCGGGCGCCTGTAGTCCAGCTACTTGGGAGGCTGAGGCAGGAGAATGGCGTAAACCCGGGAGGCGGAGCTTGCAGTGAGCTGAGATCCGGCCACTGCACTCCAGCCCGGGCGACAGAGCGAGACTCCCTCTCAAAAAAAAAAAAAAAAAAGAGTTCAAGACCAGCCAACATGGTGAAACCCCATCTCTACTAAAAATACAAAAATTAGCCGGGCGTGTTGGCGGGTGCCTGTAATCCCAGCTGCTCGGGAGGCTGAGGCAGGAGAATCGCTTGAACCCAGGAGGCAAAGGTTGCAGTGAGCCGAGATTGTGCCATTGCATTCCAGCCTGGGGAACAAGAGCAAGACTCCATCTCAAAAAATTTTAAAAAAAAAGACACTACAGGTAGGGACCAGAAGGCAGCCTGAGATGGAAGCCTGGGAAAGTCCAGCTTTTAAGGGGAGGGTAGAGGAGACGATCTAACTAAGGAGAATGAGGAGTGTCCAGAGAGATCGGGTCGGGAGAGTGTGCTGTCCTGAAAGCCAGCAGAGAAGTGAGTGCTTCTGTGAGGAGGACATGGGCAGCCCACTGAGAGGTCAAGGAAGATGGGGGCTGACAGGTGACCAGGGTTGGTGACACCACAAAGGTCATCAGCGGCCTTGGCAACAAGCTGATTTGGTGGGGTGGTGGAAGCCAGGCCAGACTGGAGTAGGGTGGGAGGGAGTAGGAGGTGAGATGATGGAATGAGTATAGATGACTTTTGAGGGGGTTGACAGGGAAAAGAAAGGTTAGGGGAAAGAGGATGGGGATGTGGTTTTGAAGAAGAGTGTTTGCTTTCTTAACATTGGAGATGTTGAAAATACAGGAGAAAGAGCGAGCTAGAGAGAGTGATCACTATTACAAGAAATCAGAGAAGGCTGGGGAGCTTGCAATCCAGGTCCCAGCAGATGACGGAACTGTTTTTTTGTTTTTTTGTTTTTTTGAGACAGTCTTGCTCTGTCATCAGGCTGGAGTGCAGTGGCATGATCTTGGCTCACTTTAACCTCTGCCACCCAGGTTCAAGCGATTCTCCTGCCTCAGCCTCCTGAATAGCTGCAATTACAGGCGCACGCCACCATGCCCGGCTAATTTTTGTATTTTCAGTAGAGGCGGGGTTTCACCATGTTTTTCAGGCTGGTCTCGAACACCTGACCTCATGATCTACCCGCCTCGGCCTCCCAAAGTGCTGGGATTACAGGCGTGAGCTACTGCGCCTGGCTGGGACTGGTCTTAAAAGGGAGTAGGGACCCTTCTCCCTCAACAGGAGGAAAGGAGGGGCAGGTGGGTACCCAAATATATTGGTGGTTTCAGAGGCAGGAAGTTGAGGGGGTTCTTGGAAAGAGGGATGGAGCCCTTCTCGAGCAGAGAGTCCCCTCTCAGACCCGCCAGGGAGAACCAAACCCAGCAGCCTTAGGATTTGAACTCAGTTTCCTCTTTCCACCTGCCAGGGAGCTCAAGTCTCCCTCTCAGGCCTGGTGGAAGGCAACAGCTCTCCACCTCTTTGTCCTCCAGCCACTTCTTCCCAAGTGGCAGGGGAGATCCAGTCATGCAAGGCTATGGGGTCATTCTGGGGTTCGCTGGTATCTGAGGTGACCCCACCCCGCGTCTGTCCTGCCTGCAGGCCCTCTCCGCATTGTGGCCCTAGTCGTCAGTGTGGGTCTCACATGGATCGTGGTCAGCATCCTCCTGGGTGGGCCTGGCAGTGGCTTTCCTCGCATCCAGCAACTCTTCACCAGTGAGTGTGGGACCCCACCTTATCCTTCTCTGGAGGCCACCAAGGTGGCCACATGGGCGTGTGGTTGAGGCTTGGGGTTGGGGGTTGACTTGGGTTTTCTATCTCCTCCCTGGCAGGCTACCTTTGGCTGTCCCCAGTCTGTCTCCTGACATTAGGCACAGCCTCCCCCACCACCCAGTTGCTTCATCTAGGAAAGCCAATACCCGATCACTAGAATTCTGTGCCCAACTGGAGTCAGTAGGGCCAGAGTAAGGGGCAGGGAGCTTCCACTGAACATGGGGAGTGATGCCCGGGTTGCTCCCTGTAGGCTCTGAGATGGAGAGGGGACTCTACACCTTGTTGACTGGTAATAGGTCACCTAAGTACTTTTTTATTTGTTTGATTGAGACAGTGTCTCACTTTGTCTCCCAGGCTGGAGTGCAGTGGTGCGATCTCGGTTCACTGCAACCTCTACCTCCTGGGTTCAAGCGATTCTAGTGCCTCAGCCTCCCGAGTAGCTGAGACTACAGGTGCGCACCACCAAACCCGGCTAATTATTATTATTATTATTGTGTTTTTAGTAGAGATGGGGTTTCACCATGTTGCCCAGGCTGGTCTCAAACTCCTGGGCTCAAGCAATCTACCCGCCTCGGCCTCCAAAAGTGCTACAGGCATGAGCCACTCTGCCCGGCCAGGTCATCTAAGTCCTTTTTCTAAGCCGTTTCCCCTGTTCCTGGAGTAGGGAGTTTTTCATCTGAACATGACTTACACTTGAGCGGGAAGCATGCCGAGGTCAGCCTGGCTCAGCCCCCAGCCCCTGAGCCTGACTGCCTGTGTCTACACTTCACGGTGTAAGGAGGGCCAGGCTGCCCTGCCGCAGGCCCTGGGAGGCTCCACACTAACAGAAACCACTCTGTATCCACAGGTCCAGAGAGCTCGGTGACTGCAGGTAAGGCCCCTGTCACCTCCCTTCCCTTTGTGATGCCCCTGCCTGCTCCCAGTCCTGTAGGGCTTCTGTTTTCCATTTATTCCTCCCAAAACCAGCTATCGCGGTTCACGGGGGCTGCTCACCACTGGAAACCTAGAAACTGAGTGGCTTCCTGCCTGAACGTGATAGCGGGCCGGCCTAGCATAGGCACTCCCACTTGCAAAAGGGCAACTTGGAAGGAAGAAAGAGGCCACCAGTCCCAAGCAAGCCCAAAGCCCAGCAGGGCAAAACTCATTTGGTTTCAAGGCCTGAGGGGAATCAGGAATCCTCTGTGACCTGAGATTCTTTTTTCTGGGCCTGCCGGAATGACCCCATGCTCTGAAACAGGAGACAGCCCCACCCTCGGGACCACCCTTCCGTCCCTTCATCTTATCTCCGCCCCCTTCACTCCAGGTCAGCAGTGTTTCTGCTGGTATACGATTCTCAAGAGCCTTGTTGGTCTCTTGTGCAAGTTATAGGGTGCAAGCTATAAAGCCAGAGTTTTCCTACAGACGCTTCCTAGATAACCCCATCTTCATTGCAGATTTCTGCTGAAAGGGTTGAGTGGACCCACAAGTCACATACCTCAGCTCTGGGACAAACGCTTGAACAGCCTTGCTCTTCTCTCCAGGGGACACTTTTGCAGTTTTTGTAACATGATTAGGCCGAGAATTTTCCACATCTTTGCTTTCTGGCTCCTTTGTGCTCAACAGTTTCTTCCTCATGTCTCTCCTCTTACATTTTACTATAAGCAGCAAGGAGAAGTCAGGCTATGCTCTCAACACTTTGCTTGGAAATCTCCTCAGCTGAATATCCAAGTTCAGCACTCAGCACTTACACATTCTCCTTTCCACAAAACACTAGAACACATTCAACCAAGGTCTTTTTTTTTTTTTTTTGAGACGGAGTCTTGCTCTGTCACCCAGGCTGGAGTGCAGTAGAGGAATCCTGGCTCACTGCAACCTTTGCCTCCCGGGTTCAAGCTGTTCTCCCACCTCAGCCTCCTGATTAGCTGGGATTACAGGCACCTGCCACCACACCCAACTAATTTTCGTATTTAGTAGAGATGAGGTTTCACCATGTTGGTCAGGCTGGTCTCAAACTCCTGACCTCAAGTGATCCTCCCACCTCAGCCTCCCAAAGTGCTGGGATTATAGGTGTGAGCCATCACGCCTGGGCCAAGTTCCTTTATAACAAGCATCAGCTTTCCTCCAGTGCCCAATAACTGAAAAACATGTCCCTCATTTTCCTCTGAGGCTTAACCAAAAGCACCTTTTTTTTTCTTTTTCTTTTATTATTTATTTTTTGAATGTTTTGAGACAGGGTCTTGCTCTCTCACCCAGACTGGAGGGCAGTGGTGCAATCATAGCTCAAGTGATTCTCCTGCCTCAGCCTCCTGAGTAGCTGGGATTACAGGCATGCACCACCACAGCTAGCTTATTTTGTATTTTTTGTAGAGATGGGGTCTCACTATGTTGCCCAGGCTGGTCTTGATCACCTGGCCTCAAGTGATGCTCCTACCTTGGCCTCCCAAGGTGCTGGGATCACATGCGTGAATCACCACACCCAACTCAAAAGCACCTTTAACATTCATGTTTCTAGCAACGTTCTGTTCATGATGATGTTTGTATTCTCTAAGACCACAGAGGCTGTGTCTATTGCTCTCCCCTCCTCTCACCAGAATTACCTTTAACATCCATACTCCTACCAACAGTCTCTTAAAGGCAATCCAGACCTTTTCTAACATGTACCTCAAACTTCTACAGCCTTGATGTGGTTTAAATGTTGTCTCCAAAACTCATGTTGAAATATGTCAATGTGTTGGTCTTGAGAGCAAGACCTTTTTGAGGTAGTTAGGTCATGAGGGCTCTAATTACCTTGAAGTTCAGCCCCCTTTTTTTCTGTGTCTCATACGCTTGCTTCTGCCTTCCACCTTTCTGCCACGGGATGACCCTTACCAGATGCCAGCGCCATGCTTTTGGACTTCCCAGCCTCCAGAATCATGAGCCAAATGAATCTGTTGTCTTTATAAATTACCCAGTCTGTGGTATTCTGTTATGGCCACAGCAAATGGACTAAGACAGGCCTCTACTGACTACCCAGTTCCAAAGCCATTTCCACATTTTTAGGTATTTGTTACCTAAGCATGACACTTCTGGTGCCAAAACCTGTATCCATTTCCTGGAACTGCCATTTCAACTGGGTGGCTTAAACAACAGAAATGGATTCTCTCCCCATTCTGAAAACCAGAAGTCTGAAATCAAGGTGTCACCAGGGCGGCACTCACTCTGAAAGTTCTACAGGAGGGTCCTTCTGACCTCCCCAGGTTCCAGTGGCCCCAGGCATACCTTGGCCTCTGGCTGTATCACTCCTGTCTCTTCCTCCAGTGTCCCATGGCTGTCTTCCCTCTGTGTGTCTTTGTCACTTCCGTTCTTGTGAGGACATCAGTCATGTTGCATTAAGGCCCCACCTACTCCAATATGACCCCATCTGAATTCATTTCTCTGCAAAGGCCTATTTGCAAACATCACATTCTGAAGTACCAGAGATTAGAACTTCAACATATCTTGAGGGGACAGAATTCAACCCATAAGGGAAGCCATCCTGCTGCAGTCCTCCCAACCAACCCCCATCAAAATCGGGAGACAGGCTGCACCCCCTGCCACACTGCCTTTGCTGTGGTTGGCCTCATCCATGCAGCTAGGTCCCCAGCCTGACTTACTTCACCCCTGCTTTGTTCCTGGCTGTGCAGTGGCCCAGGCCAGCCCTCAGCATCCTTTCTTTTCTCCCACCAGTAACAGAAAATCCTTCTGTCTTGGGTCCCTGTGGCCTCACCAGTAGGACATAGAGTATGGAAGTGTCCCCAGCCTTGGCCTGAGCCACATCCCCCTATTTGTTCCCTGCTCTGCGGTCACTTATTCTACCATGTGTGCTGGTCCTGACCTCCCCTTCAGATCTCAGGTGACCTCAGGGCCAGGCCCATGGGTAACACCTGCTATCCCTGCCCAGCGCCACGGGCCAGGAAGTACAAGTGCGGCCTGCCCCAGCCATGTCCTGAGGAGCACCTGGCCTTCCGTGTGGTCAGCGGGGCCGCCAACGTCATTGGGCCCAAGATCTGCCTTGAGGACAAGATGTGAGCTCCCTGGGGTGAATGGGGATCAGGGAGGGAGTGGGGGATCCAGGGCCGGGTCTGCAAGGGAGAGTGGAGCAGATGTGCCCATGTGGGATCTCCCCGTCCCCCGCCCCTAACTAGGCTGATGAGCAGCGTCAAGGACAACGTGGGCCGTGGGCTGAACATCGCCCTGGTGAACGGTGAGGCCCCTGGCTGAGTGTGGCCTGCCGCCCTCCTTCCCTGCTCCCTCCCCAGGAGGCCTCTGGGTGTTTGCCCTCCCTTCCCCTCCCCTTCAGGATCTCCCAGGGAGGCCCAGGAAGGAGTCTGTGCAAAGCCGAAGGCTCCACAGAGGAGTGACCCAATGAACAAAAAGGCACGATGGCAAAAAATAAAGCACTGGGGAGGGTTCTGGGAGGTCGGGGGTGCTTCATGGAGCCCCCAGAGGGCCTCAAATGCCAGACAGAGGCACCATGGCTTGGGGTGGGATGCAGCTGCCTGAACAAATGAATGAATATTGGGGGACTGTTTGAAAGCTTCCAGAAGGGCTGCCCCCCGTTGCTGCCCGCCTGCCGTGCCCTGAGGCTGGCCTGGCTCACCCAGCAGGGCCCTCCCTCCTGACACAGGGGTCAGCGGCGAGCTCATCGAGGCCCGGGCCTTTGACATGTGGGCCGGAGGTGAGTTATAGCGCAGCATCTTGCATTTTGACTGCAGCAAAATGACCTGGGCAGCTTCCCCTGAGACACTGCTCTCTCTCTCTCTGTCTGTACTTGGGGCTTCTCCGTCACCTCCTTGGTTTCGGAAATGACAGGGGCATCACCAGCTTGGTTTAGAGGCTGTGGGAGGTCATGGGGATGCCTCAGCTTCCTATACCAGTCTGTCCCTTGGCGGGGCATGTCCCAGGGCAATCCCTACTTCTGTTTCCTTGTTTGGAGAACAGGGGCTGGTGGGAGGGTGCTCAGTGGTACCTGATGACCCCTGTTCCGTGGCATCTGCCCCCCGCCAGATGTCAACGACCTGTTGAAGTTTATTCGGCCACTGCACGAAGGCACCCTGGTGTTCGTGGCATCCTACGACGACCCAGCCACCAAGTAAGTACTTGGGGAGGCCAGCCTCAGCCTTGCCCTTCTGCAGCGACAGCTGACACCTCTTCCTCCCATGCTGCAGGATGAATGAAGAGACCAGAAAGCTCTTCAGCGAGCTGGGCAGCAGGAACGCCAAGGAGCTGGCCTTCCGGGATAGCTGGGTGTTTGTGGGGGCCAAGGGTGTGCAGAACAAGAGCCCCTTTGAGCAGGTATGGTGGGTGCTTGGCATCATCCCCACCAGCACAGGGCAGCCCGTCGCCCCTTCTGCCTACATGCCACGCGGCTCCCCGACTGCTCACGCCCCAGCAGGGGACCATCCCCAGTCCAGCTATGAGGGGTGGGCCAGCACAGCTGGTGCCATGTTTCCCTGGGGTGGGTGGAGGGGCTGAGTGCCCGGAGAGTGCACTGTTGGCCAGCACAGCACAGGTGACTGAAAGCCTGGGCCCTGGTCCACTCCTGTCCCCTGTCCCTGAGGGCCAAGGGCATGACTTTCTGCTCCCCTCCCCGCAGCACGTGAAGAACAGTAAGCACACCAACAAGTACGAAGGCTGGCCCGAGGCACTGGAGATGGAAGGTTGCATCCCGCGGAGAAGCACGGCCAGCTAGCACGGCCAGCGCCAGGACCAGGCCGAGGGAGGCCAGGCCAAGGGAGGCACGCGCGCTGCCGGGTGGACGGAGGCCGAGGCCCACACCCCACGCCTGGGCAGGAGTGCTCTGTGGCCCCAACACACTGGGGCTCTGAGGCAGTGACCAGAATGTGGTCTCAAGGTGGTGGAGGATATGGGGGCTGCAGGGGCTAGCTCTGTCGCACTTTGTCACGGGAGCCCAGGGTACCCGCCTCCTTTTCGTAACACTGTTCCCCCGGTCAGCCCATCTAGCCCTGTCCTCCTGCATTCTTCACACCATCTCCGTCCCCATCCCGAGTCCTGGAACAGCCCTGGGTGCCCGCCCCTCACTGTGCAACTCTGGGAGCAGACCCCGGCAGGTTGGGACATCTTCCAGAACCTCTCCCTTCTGGAACCACCCTCTGCACTGCGGGCTAAACATGTTTCCAGTGTGATTCCTTCCAGTGAGCCAAACCCGGTGGCTGCTTCATGAGCAGGCTGGCCCGGGGTGGTAAAGCAGCTGGAGCCTGATCATGGTCCTGTCCGCAGTTTGTCAGGGGGCCCACCTTCTAGATGACCCCTTAATAAAGTGATGGCCCCACAGAAGAAATGCCTTCAGATGCTGTTGTCAGTGCGGAGTCAGGGGTGATGGTGTCCTCTGGGATGTGGGAGGACAGATTCCAGAGTCTTAACCAACCTGCTCCCACAGCCCTAGCAGACAGCCTTTTGTCTCAAGGGCTCCTGCCACCAACAGGCCCTGCTGTGACTGAGATGTGACTCCAGCAGTGATCAGAGCGGCCCCAGGTAGTGCCACCATGGCTTTGTCTGGGAGACATGATTCCACATTCAGGGGCTGCAGGAAACTCAACAACTCCCTCTGACCCAGTGCAGGCCTGTAGGGACAGGGACAGGGATTAACACCAGCCCAGGCCCCCCCTGCCACACCCCCATCATCATCCAAGAGCACGTGTCGCCCACAGACTTTGACTGCCTTTGAAGTCAGGGTTTGAGGGGTTGAGTCACTTAGGCTTTTCGCGTGTCTCGCAGGTTACAGTTAATACCTCCCTTCGCTGAGCGAGAGCCAGCAAGTTAGAAGCAATTTTGCTGGAATAAAATCCAGAGGCCCAGAAGCAGTCTGAGTTCAGCGAAAGGAGAGAAGGCAGTTCCTAGATGGGAGGCACTGTGGTGTCCTTGACAGGACCACATTAGGGGCGATGGACTTAAGAGCCGACCCCAGGAAGAGCGTAGAGCTCAGACAGAGCCTCAGAAGACAAAAGTGCTTCCAGAGCAGGCACATGTGGGGTTGGAGGCACAGGGGTGCCCTGGAAGAGAGACTCACCAGGCAGGAAATGATGGTGATTCCAGGACTGAAAAGATCACACAGCCAACACCCAGTCCTGTCTCTGCATCAGGAACTTTCTACATGTATTCCCTTTTTTTTTTTTTTTTTTAAATTTTTTTTTTTTTTTTTTTTTTTTTTTTGAGACGGAGTCTCTCTGTCGCCCAGGCTGGAGTGCAGTGGCCGGATGCAAGCTCTGCCTCCCGGGTTCACGCCATTCTCCCGCCTCAGCCTCCTGAGTAGCTGGGACTACAGGCTCCCACCACCACGCCTGGCTAATTTTTTGTATTTTTTAGTAGGACGGGGTTTCACCGTGTCAGCCAGGATGGTCTCGATCTCCTGACCTCGTGATCCGCCCGTCTCGGCCTCCCAAAGTGCTGGGATTACAGGCCTGAGCCACCGCGCCCGGCCGTAAATGTTCTTTCTTAGAACCATTTTAGGTTCACAGCAAAACTGAGTGGAAAGGTCAGAGTTCCTGTGTGCCCCCTGCCAGCCTCCAGCGTCCCATCTGTTGCTGTCAATGAACCAGCATTGGTGCTCACATGAGGCTTCACTCTGCTGTTGGACATTCGATGGGTTTGGACAAAAATGTGTAATGATGGATCCACTGCAGGATCATACATACTTCACTCTTTAGATTTGCTATGGAAAATTGCAAACATCTCCAGAAGACAGACTAGCATACAGTCAGCCCTTCATATCCATGGGGGTTCCATGTCCACAGATTCAACCAACCACAGATTGGAAATATTTGAAAAAAATAAAAATACAACAATAAAAAATAGTACAAGTAAAAAACAATACAGTGGCCGGGCGCGGTGCCTCATGCCTGTAATCCCAGCACTTTGGGAGGCCAAGGCAGGCAGATCACAAGGTTAGGAGATCGAGACCATCCTGGCTAACATGGTGAAACCCTGTCTCTACTAAAAAATACAAAAAATTAGCCAGGCGTGGTGGCGGGAGCCTGTAGTCCCAGCTACTCAGGAGGCTGAGGCGGGAGAATGGCGTGAACCCGGGAGGCAGAGCTTGCAGTGAGCCGAGATTGCGTCACTGCACTCCAGCCTGGGCGACAGAGCGCGACTCTGTCTCAAAAAAAAAAAGAAAAAAAAAAAAATTGGCCAAGCGTGGTGGCAGTAATCCCAGCTATTCAGGAGGCTGAGGCAGGAGAATCACTTGAACCCGGGAGGCAGAGGTTACAGTGAGCCAAGATCATGCCATTGCGCTCCAGCCTGGGCAACAAAAGCAAAACTTCATCTCAAGAAAAAAAAAAACAATACAGTGTAGGCTCTCACAGTGGCTCATGCCCTATAACCCAGCACTTCGGGAGGCCAAGGTGGGCAGGTCATTTGAGCCCAAGCATTCGAGACCAGCCTGGGTAAAATTGCGAGACCCCATCTCTACAAAATAAAGAAAATTAGCCAGACATGGTGACACGCATCTGTAGTCCCAGCTACTTGAGAGGCTGAGACAAGAGGATCACTTGAGCCCAGGAGGTCAAGGATGTCATGAGCCAAGATCACACCACTGCACTTCAGCCTGGGCAACAGAGTGAGATCCTATCAAAAAACAAGAAACAATACAGTGTAATAGCTATTTGCATAGCATTTGTATTGTATTAAGCATGATAAATAATCTAGAGATGGTTTAGATTCTATGGGACTAGGCTTGGTAGCTCATGTCTGTAATCCCAGCACTTATGGAGGTTGAGGCAGGCGGATTGCTGCAGTCCAGGAGGTTGAGGCTGCAGTGAGCCATGACTGTGCCAGTGCACTCCAGCCAGGGTGACAGAGCAAGACCTTGTCTCAAAAAAAAAAAAACAGGCCGCGCACAGTGGCTCACACCTGTAATCCCAGCACTTTGGGAGACTGAGGTGGGCAGATCATCTGAAGTCGGGAGTTTGAGACCAGCCTGGCCAACATGGTAAAACCCTGTCTCTACTAAAAACACAAAAATCAGCCGGGTGTGGTGGCACATGCCTGTAATCCTAGCTATTCAAGAGGCTGAGGCAGGAGAATCGCTTGAACCTCGGATGTGGAGGTTGCAGTGAGCCAAGGTTGCACCATTGCACTCCTGCCTAGGCAACAAGAGTGAAACTGCATCTGAAAAAAAAAAAATCTGAGATTACTATGTGGTCAAATCACTATTCTTGCAGGCAAAATTTGATCAAAGTAAATTTATTTTACAAACAAATTTGTATTACTCTGATTATCTTTAGTAAAAATCAGGATGACCTTAGAGAGAAAAAGTTGTTTCTTTTTCTTTTTCTTTCTTTTTTTTTTTTTTTTTTTTTTTTGAGACAGAGTCTCGCTCTGTTGCCCAGGCTAGAGTGTAGTGGCGGGATCTCGGCTCACTGCCAGCTCCACCTCCTGGGTTCACGCCATTCTCCTGCCTCAGCCTCCCGAGTAGCTGGGACTACAGGCACCTGCTGGCACGCCCAGCTAATTTTTTGTATTTTTAGTAGAGACAGGGTTTCACCATGTTAACCAGGATGGTCTTGATCTCCTGACCTCGTGATCCGCCCGTCTTGGCCTCCCAGAAATAGTTGTTTCTAAAGGAAAAACACTAAAATATGCCTGTTATTAGATTGCAGCCCTTTGCATTGTTTCTTATCTACATGAAGACAAGACTAGACCCCAAATCCTCCTAATTTCCTCTAATATTTGGCTAAAACTCTCCAAGTAAGAAAAAAAAAAAACCTGTTATGTTGCTAAAGGCCTTGAAGCTGGAGCTAGAAAACTTGGTATAAATATCAAGGGACAAGTCTCATGCCTAATGTATGGGTCACACAGGAAGTTCTCCAAACCACCTGATGCCATAACCAGAGACATTCAAACTGCAAACCAGAACAAGAAGTTGAGATTTTTGGCTGGGCATGGTGGTTCACGCCTGTAATCCCAGCAGTTTGAGAGGCCGAGGCGGGTGGATTACTTGAGGTCAGGAGTTCGAGACCAGTCTGGCCAACATGGTGAAACCCCATCTCTACCAAAAATATTTTTTAAAAATTAGCTGCGTGTGGTGGCACGCACCTGTAATCCCAGCTACTCGGGAGGCTGAGGCAGAATTGCTTGAACCCGGGAGGCAGAGGTTGCAGTGAGCCGAGATCATGCTGCTGCACTCCAGCCTGGGCGACAGAGCGAGACTCTGTCTAAAAAAAAAAAAAAAAAAAAGAAGAAGTTGAGAGCTTCACTTTTCCTTTCTTATGTCTGCCTTTTCGTTGACGGGATAATGGTGTAATTTAAACTGCACAATCAATAGCTTCTATCAGTAACCTCACAGAACCTGACCTAAGAGAACCTTCAGTATCTATTGGTTAAATCAGGAAATATCTGTTCTATTGCTAATAGCACCTGCTGAACCTGGATAAATTTCCCTGGAGAACTTGAGGCCCCATATACACTAAATTACAAAACATAGGTTATAACAGGTCACATAGGTTATAATGGGTCTCACCAAATTCCCCATGGTCATTTGATTTATTGACTTGATTGCCTTTAAGCCTAGGTTCATAGCTCAAAACCATTATGAAAACTGGGGGTATCATATTACTATTAATATTAATTTGTATTTTCCTTTTAACAATTTGTACTTATTACTTGTGAAGCTTCTGCAGAAGTACAGCTGCTAACAGAATATGCTGGCCTGGGGCTTCCAGACGATGGCCAAAAGACCACGGAACACAAAAAATTGAACGTAAAGATGGACTTCAGGTAGACTTAGTCTGAGTGCAACTTTCCCCGAATTTCCAGTGTTGCTCAGATGTGCCTAAAGGGGTTTTGACACTGACTCCTAGTTGTCAATCACTCCCTCTTATCTGGAACCAGACCAACAGCCCAGGACAGGTCCATCCCAGTACTGAGGGACAATCCAAACCCACTGCTTTTGAAGAAAGATCACGATCAAAAAGGGGAAATGTGAAAGTTGCCAGAAGCAAAATGGAGTCACTTGTATTAAAAACAAAACAGGTGTGGTGGCTCATGCCTATAATCCCAGCACTTTGGGAGGCTGAGGTGGGTGGATCACTTGAGGTCAGGAGTTTGAGACCATCCTGGCCAACATGGTAAAACCCTGTCTCTAGTAAAAATAGAAAAATTAGCTGGGCGTAGTGATGCAGGCCTGTAGTCCCAGCTACTCAGGAGGTTGAGGTGGGAGAATTGCT